GGGATGCTGATCATGCCTGCGCCCGCGAGCGTTCCGAATGTTGTGTGGGATGCAGCCGAGACGGCGGAAATGAAGGATATTGTGCCGTTGTATGGGAAGACGTATCATCTTTGGCAGGTGGATCGGGGGGATGCGGTGCCGATGGGGGCGCCGGAGTTGATGGCGAGTTTTACCAGTGAGGAGAGGGTGAAGATTGCTTGTCCGGGGGGATTGGGGGAGTTGGTGAAGGAGAGGGATGAGAGGTTTGGGGTGGATTATAGGGAGAAGAGGGAGAAGAGGAAGGGGTTGGAGAGGGAGGGAGAGGGGGTGATGGTTGAGGGTGAGTTTATTCCATTTATTCCTGTTTCCACTTTCTGTGTTCCATGTTGATTTGGGGGTGTGTGTGCTAATTGATGGATTGTGTAGGTGCGGATGGGACGTGGGAGGATTAGGATATATAATGTTGAGTATGTGTGATGATGAATATGAATATGAATATGAATATGGATATGAAAAGTAATTGCAATTGCATTCAACTATCAACAAACTACAATAGTATAAAAGATGGATGTGTCCCATCGGTACCACCCAGTTTTCCATTCCCATAATAAAATGGGGTCCAAGCCGGGCTATCGTTCAGGGAATCCCACCACGAAGGATGAGATGTATATTCATCTTGCTTCACTGTCCACACTCACGCGCTCTGGTGTTTAATTTCGGCAGCGGTGAGCTCTAGCAATTTTAGAAGCGAATATAGCAGAATAAACATAACGCAACAAGAAAAAAAACAGTAACGATAATAGCAATGGATGGGATGATATGTATCCAATTTAGCTGCATTAAGCAATCAGATAATCCATCTTAGATGTAGCAATCATCAATCAATCAACCATATCGATCAATTGATTGAAAGTCTGGCGTTGTGTTGTGTTGTGTTGTCACTCACGACATATCTGTAGGAAGAGAGAAAAAATCTCCCGCACAGAACCCTTTATATACCCTCCCTCTCACCGGCTAATCACATGACCAACCAAACCTCCGAAAGCTCTCCGCCGTCATACCAAGCAAACTGTAGTACACCAAACTAGTCCAATCCAATCCAATCCAATTCAACCCCAATCGCAAAGCAATGCCCTCAAAACCAACCCAATAATAATCAAAGAAAAAAAAAAAATCTACAAAATGGACCGCTTCCTCCGCTACACCCTAAAACGCAGCACCCCCGGCCACATCTTCCGCTTCGGCCTCAACAGCCTGGGAGTATTCTGCGCATGCACACTAATCTGGGAGCACCTGATCACGGTACAACTGAGCGAAGGGCCCTCAATGTACCCGACCTTCAGTCCGCGGGGCGACTACCTTCTCATATCGCGAGTGCACAAGCACGGGCGCGGAATCCAGGTCGGGGACGTGGTGCGATTCTATCATCCGACGTTTTTGGGGGTCAATGGGGCGAAGAGGGTTATTGGGTTGCCCGGGGATTTTGTGTGTAGGGATTTGCCGTTTAGTAGGGAGGTTGGTGGGGAGGGGGAGATGATTAGAGTGAGTTTTTCTTCTTTTTTTTTTCCTTTTACTTTTCTCCTTTGTGGTTTTGTTGCTTTGGGATTGGGGTCAAGCTAATGGGTTTGTGTTTGGTGTAGGTTCCTGAAGGTCATGTCTATCTTGCTGGGGATAATTTGCCGTGGTCGAGGGATTCAAGGAATTATGGACCTATACCCATGGCGCTTATTAATGGGAAGATTATCGCGCGGTTGTGGCCGCTGAATAAAATTGAGTGGGTGAAGAATACGTTGGAGGAGGCGGATTTGTCGGGATAACTGTTATATTATATGTCGGATGGATGATACATGGATACCCTTTAGGTATACGGCATGGGAGTCTGGAGTTGGTGATATTTGTGCATATTCATACATCTTCTCTTGTACAATACAAAATCTAGAGCCAAAAAAGTTGAACAGAAAAGGAAAAGAGGCTGGCTGGTTTACCGGAATGTGGACGGGTTTCTTCTCTTGTAAGGAAGAGGCTCGACCCGCTTCCTCCGGAGCTCCATGTTCGCCTCGGGGAAGCCAATCTGCTTCATCACCTCAAATGTCGTCTCGTCCCATTGCGTGCGGAACAGGTGCGCGCCAATCGGCTTCAGGTGGTACCGGGCCTGCAGGGTGCGGGGCAGCATGTTCTCACGCTCCGTCTCCTTCGCCTTGACGGCGGCAAAGTCCAATGGCTTGGAGTCCTTCTGTTCGAGGATGAACAGAGACAGTCGGTGGTAGGGGCTGCCCTTCTGAGCGACAGGGGGCTCCCATGGCAGGACAACCTGCGACTCACCCGACAGCTGGGCCAGGTCGACCTTGGTGTTGGTGGCCGAGATGGGGACGTTGACAGCCAGGTAGTGCATCTTGAAATCAAATCCATCCTTCTCAACGTTCGGAACATCCGAGTCGACCACGGCGATGGTAACGAGTTTCTCGCCGCCCTCGAAAAGCTGCACGTCGAGCTTAGGTGCTGTCGTGCTGACCTTGGCGTTGACGTATTCTCCAGGCTGCACCTGGCTGCGGTTGAAGTAGAGCCTGGTGTCGACGATGGGGTCGCAGTGAGGAAGGACGTCGGGAATCACCTTCATTTGCGTAATTCTTTGGACGAGGATCTTGCGACGGTATTCCCTCCATTTCCGATCGGCCAGGTAGCGGTAGATGGGCTTGCTGAGGTCACCTAGACGAGGTCGGTTAGGCTGTGGAGTTGAAGGCAGTTTGTAGAATGTGTTGCTCACCTTGTCCATCCTCAAACTTCTTCTTGACCAGCGGGTCGTTGACATCCGCAAGGATCTTGAGGTGTTCCAGATGGAGCTCCATGGCCCGGAGCTTGGACTTCTTGACCTGCAAGCCGCCGGCCTCCTCATCGGAAAGGGCCTGAAGCCTGGCAATCTTCTCGCTCATCGACTGGATATCGCGCACCTTCTCTTCCCGGTCTGCGATCAAAACCTTGCGGGCCTCCTGGAAACATTGGAAGGGCAGCTGCTCGAAGGGAATGTTGGATGAGCCCTGGAGGGCCGCGCGACGCCGACGAGATCCGACGGGGGCAATTCCCTGGCGTAACAACCTCCGTTCCAGCCGGGGACTCGTTACTAGGGCCGGATCAGGCGATTTGTGGAAGGGAGTGCTCTTGGCCTCAGTCTGGGCTTCCTCGCGAGCCAGAGCGGTGGACTGAAAGGCGCGGGTGGACTGCAGCTGGAGGCCTGGAAGACCCTTTGTGTAGGTCTTCTGCAGGCATTGGAGCAGGGGCTTCGAGGCCCGCTCGCAATGAGCCATGGCGAGACGAGTGACTGGGGAAGGACGGGGGGGATAGAGTGGTGGAGTGGATGGAAGAGATTCCCCAGGTTGGTCGGGAAGTCGAAGTCGAGGTTCCTGGCCGGACGGAACTTTTTTCGTCGGGTTGGCCAAGCCTCAGGCGGCTAGCGCCAGACCACCCGAACTTTTGCTGCTCCTCCTCCAAAGCATCAAGACCGAGATCCCTCCTCCATCCAGGCTACCTCTCGGGGTTTAATTACACACTCTCACTCACAATGCCTGGAAGTGACGCTCTTCGCGCACTCAAGTTGCTCTCTCGCAGCTCAGGGGGTCTCCTCTCGGGCGCTGAGACGACCACGGTAAGGCCGACCTTTTTTTGATTCCGCTGCTCGTCTTTGCAGATGGCTGAATGCGAGATACTGACCATTGATGTCTCGCTTCAATAGCAACGATGCCTGACGAAGTCCTTCTCCCGCTCGATGGCCACCGAGGCCCAGTCCCCCGTTGACAACCTTACGAGGGAGGTTCCCAAGCCCGTGTGGAATCCCGAACCCGTCAAGGCTACCCTCTACTCATTCCCCTCGATGGAGCCTCTGCGCTTCGTTGAGTATCCTCGCAACCACCTCCTGATGCCGCTACGCAAAGACATTCTGCACCGAGCCGTTGTTTACGAGGGTGACATGACCCGACAAGGTACCGCAAGCACCAAGTGGAGAGATGATGTGCATGGAAGTGGTAGGAAGTTGCATGCGCAGAAGGGTACTGGCCGGGCCCGTGTTGGCGACAAGAAATCCCCGATCCGGAGAGGTGGAGGTGTTGCTTTTGGTCCTCACCCCCGCGACTTCTCTACGGAGCTCCCTCAGAAGATCTACGACCAGGCGTGGCGGATAGCCCTCAGTTACCGCTACAAGCGCGGCCAATTGATCATTGTCGACAACGAGATCAGCCTTCCGGAGGGCGCCACTCCCCATATCGTTGAGGAGATTTTCAAGGTCAACTGCTGGGGCCGGCACTATGGACGGTCGACATTGATTACGGACCAGCCGAAGGAGGAGCTGTTCGAGACCGTGCGTCAAGTGGGTGAACATGCGAAGATCCTGGACCGCCGTGACGTGGACGTGAAGGACCTGTTGGAGACTGGACGCTTGATTATCGAGAAGCAAGCGCTGGACCGCATTCTGTCTCAGCATTCCAAGGATCTGAAGAACAAGCCGGCCAAGGCTTTGTACTAAATTTCTTTTACCTGGCGATGGGGTCTTTTACTGGTTAGCTTCGTTCTGTGTTTTATTTTGTACAAATAGATTCGAAATATGTATGATGGCATTACGGATTTTCAAGGATGAAAGTCACGGCGTTCTTAGCAGAAACCTACGATAAGCTGCCCGGTAAATGGTCGAGGGAGACCGATGTAAGTAGTTGGAAAGCACATGCCAGGGCGAGGTTGCCGAACGGGAGATCTTTCACAATACTACACCAAAATCCATTGGACAAATCAAATATAATACAAAAATATTCAAAAGAATATTAATCAATAATTTAGAACCCTATATACCACTACTAAGGTTCTGGTTACTCCTAGTGGGACATCTCAACTTGCGGCCGTTCGGCTGTTCTCCTCTTCAGCGGCCGGCGAGGAAAATCATTCCGCGAAAAACTCCGAGGTCAAAGCAAGCGGAGAACCGACGAGCTGCTCATCCTCATACTTAATCCCCTCATCCCTCCATTCCTTTACCCCGTCTCCTCCTCCACAACAGGCTGTGGTCTGCCTGATGTTACTCCGACGCAGTATTTGCCGGTTTCCAACACCGTCGAGCTGGATCTCGCGGGTTTCACCAGCTACCATGCCTCTCCGTGCCAAAGTCACCAACCCAGCATTCGGGGCCACTGCTAGTGTACGCCTTTCTTTTATCTCATGCGTCGCCTCTCCTATTGACTGACGATTGCAGATGTCTACGGCACCTATTCCCAAAGAACTCCCCGGAGACGAGCCCGACGATGTCCTGTTCCACTCCCACTACGGTGTGCGCTTGATTGAGCTCAACCGTCCCAAGAAGCTCAATTCCCTGAACGGCTCGATGGTCCGGAAGATTGTGCCTCGACTGAAGGTTAGATTGTGGCTGTGACCTGGTATCATACGTGTGAACTTGTTGCTAAGCGATTGGGTGTCTTCTAGGAATGGGAAAAGTCCGATCTGGCCAATGTCATCATGCTCTCTGGCGCTGGCTCGAAAGCTCTGTGCGCCGGAGGAGATGTGGCTGCCCTGGCTCTGCAGAACGAAAAGGGCCCCGAGGGCCAGCAGGCCTCGTCCGACTTCTTCGCCGACGAATATCGTCTCGATCACCTCATCGCGACCTACCAGAAGCCCTTTGTCTCCGTGATGGACGGTATCACCATGGGCGGCGGTGTCGGTCTCAGTGTCCACGCTCCCTTCCGGATCGCCACTGAACGCACTGTGTTTGCCATGCCCGAGACCACCATTGGCTTCTTCCCGGATGTTGGCGGCTCCTTCTTCCTGTCCCGTCTCGATGGACAGCTCGGAACATACCTGGCCCTTACCTCGGAGCGACTTCACGGTGTCCAGGCTCTGTATGCTGGTGTTGCCACGCACTACCTGCACTCCAGCGCGCTGGCCAACCTGACGGCTCGTCTATCTGAGCTCGTCTTCCGTGACTACTCCACATTCCAGGACCGTCTCGCTCTTGTCAACAAAACCATGGCCGAATTCTCGACGGGTGTGCCGTCCGTGCGCGAGGAGCCTATCCAATTGGCTGGCAAGCTGCGCAGTGCTATTGACCGCTGCTTCCAGTACAACACGGTGGAGGAGATCATCCAGGCGCTGCAGAAGGAAACAGAGATGAAGTCGTGGGCTGAGAAGACCCTGGAGACCCTGTCGGCGCGGTCACCCACCTCGCTCAAGGTTGCCCTGCGCCAGCTGCGTGTCGGCCGCGAGTGGACCATCTCCGAGACCTTCCAGCGTGAGCACGCCATCGCCTCCAAGTTCATGAGACACCCCGACTTTGTGGAGGGCGTGAAGGCCCGCCTCATGTCGAAGCCTCCCCGCCAGGCTACCTGGCAGCCGGCGACTCTGGAGGAGGTCTCGACCGAGACCGTCGACAAATTCTTCGAGATTTCCGAGTCTGAGTCGGGGCCTGAATCCCGGTTGAGTCTCTACCACTACAAGTCCCCGTACACCCAGTATCCCTACAAGTTCGGGTTGCCTAGCGAAAGCAGAATCGAGGCTTTCGTGCGTCACCGTGGAAGAAAGGAGAAAGTGACCCTCAACGATATTGTTGCGAACTTTGACAGCAAAGAGGGTGTGAAGGAGAAGGCCGCTGAAGTCCTGGCCAGACGGACTGTCCAGGGCGAGGATGGTCTTGAATGGGTGAACTGATTTCTTTGGCGAAAGAGAAAAGAACATCAGAATGTATAAGGAGTCCATTTGTTCCTGTTGTTGTGTTCGTTGGGTCTGTATATTGGGTTAATCTTATCAACATGTATTTCATATAAAGTTAGACACGCAAGCAACGGTCCTTTTTCCACCCTAACATGGCTTGTATCCAACAGTATGATATTTATATTTGTATGCGTTCATAATGTTGCCCGTAGCCCGTAAGTCCCTAAGAACTGCATATTGAAAGACTACTCTCTTCCATGGAGATTGTCCAGAGTTCTGGGTTTTCTGCGGTGACTTTTAAGCATGGGATCTTGATAATCCGGGGAAGGGTTAGGATAATAGCATGCTCTCATAACGGAATTATCTGCCATCCCGCCACTTCTGCTATCTGAAAAATGGATGAAACCACCCATCCCTTATGCTCCCTGATTGTAGTAATAGTATATAAAGCCAACACAATTGGTGGAGATATGCCCAGAGCACCTCCTTACCGAATGAGGTGAAGGCATTCAACTCAGCCCACTCGGCTCCGCACCAGCCCAAGCATCCATCCATAACTAAAAGTATCCGTCGGTCCCTTCGGCCGGGCAATCACGAATTACTTCCCCGTCTCACACCAACTCCAAATCCATCCTCCAAACATGCAAACTTCGAGAATCTAAGTAACAAACAAAAGCCCCATCATGGCAGAATCACCTTTACTCCACGCTCACACAGAGCCCCGAACATCTTGCGATTCGCAAGACCCGGCAGAGCCATTTCTACCCCGACCATCAGCCCCCGGGTCCCCAGTGCCTCAGAACCCAGCCCGAATACTGTTTCGGTTGTATATTTCTCATTTTCTCTCAACATGGAACTCGCGGATGTTTGAGTTTGGGGCTGTCTTGTTCCTGGCCACTATCTTCCCGGGAACATTGCGGTATGCTTCGGTGTATGCTTTGGTACGATCGCTGGCTGCGGTGGTCCTGTCCTCGTGGTTGGGATCGGTGGTGGACCGGGCGAATAGGTTGAGAGCGATTCGGCATTCCATTAGTATGTGGGAGTAATAGAGTGGGGATGTTATCATGGACTGACATTGTATAGTATGGCAGAGACTCCCTGTGGCTGCTTCCTGCGCGTGCTTTACGGTTCTCCTGGCGCCGTCTACTACGGTGTTTACCTCGCTTGTGTTTGCGGGCACAGTTTTGCTGGCTTGCGTGGAGAAGCTCGCTGCTACTGCGAACTGTGTTGCTGTTGAGAGAGATTGGGTATGTTGCTGTCCGTTTGCTACGATACCTGACTAATTCGAAAGGCCATTGTTGTGTCGGATGCTTTGGATATCCCTCGACAAGGTACGTTACGAACTGCTACGAGCTGTACTTAATACTAATTGAATAGACCTTAATGCGTCTATGAGACGGATAGATCTGTTTTGCAAACTCTTAGCTCCGGTGGTCATCTCCGTGGTTGATGGGTTGTCCACGAAGATAGCTATATGGACGGTCTTGGTTGTGAATGTTTCCTGTGTCGTCGTTGAGTACATTGCAATTGCTCAGGTACTATTCCCAGAGGCTGGAGACTACCGTATACTTATTGTGTCTAGGTGTATACGTCCATTCCCGAACTTAGGCGTTGTCAGGATGGAAGCAGTGAGATCGGAGGTCAATCTGGGCTCGAGCCACAGGATAGCGACAGTACTCCGACCGCAGCTCGTCGGATAGCGCAGTATAGCAGAAGGGCTCTTGCTCCGTGGCGAGAGTATGTGGCTAGCTCTGTATTCCTGGCGTCTCTTGCTTTGAGCTTACTTTACCTCACGGTGCTCTCCTTTGGCACTACCATGGTAACATATCTGCTACACACCGGGTTCACTCCGCTGCAGGTCAGCGGGATGAGGATCGGAGCTGTCATTGCAGAGCTGTCGGGGACATGGGCAGCCCCCTTTATTATGGGCAGGATTGGGCCTATCCGGTCAGGCCTGTGGTTCCTCAACTGGCAGTTTGTCTGTCTGGCGGCTGCCGTGGCGGCCTTTGCTTTCCTCGACAATCAGTCTCAAGTGGTTGCCGTGAGCCTGATTGTCGGCGTAGCCCTCAGTCGAATCGGACTCTGGGGCTTTGATCTGTCGGTGCAATTCCTAGTTCAAGAGGTAAGTCCTGCTACTCGAACTGTCTCATATGGCCAAGCTCTTACTATGATAGGGTGTGGACGAACGTGCTCGCGCGCGGTTCTCATCCACAGAAATGGCTCTCCAAAACATCTTCGAGCTCCTTTCCTTTGCGACGACCATTGCATTCCCTCTTCCCGAACAATTCAAGTACCCAGTATTCATCAGTTATGGGGGCATTGCGCTGGCTGCTATATGTTTCGCGACGTATGTGCGGAAGGAACGGGGACACTTGCTGCATACATCCAAGTGTTTTGGGGGAGACAAGAAACGAATCGTCCCTGACCCGCAGAATGTCATCATCCGAAGCGCATAATAAGATAGAGTGCATGTAGTGTCATGAGTTATGAATCAAATATGCTTTCTGACGTAGCTGTTCCTGGGAGAGTTTACAGTATGTAGACCACTACAAATATAAGACAAGGCGGACCGCTGCGGGGAGCCGAGCATGATCTCGTTCCTGATTCCCCCCAACAATCACACCATCTCAGCTGCGCAGCTCCTCCTTCAACCATGTCTTCCCCACACCCATCATGGAGGTAATCTCGCATCCCCAAACCCTTGATACGCCTAGATAATGCACCTGCTAACCGAGCACAAGGCTCCTCGAGCTCGCGGAATGGGCCGATCAGGACCCCGACGCCGCACGGGCTGTCTGACCTGCCGGGCACGTAAAGTCCGTTGCGACGAGACCAAACCCACGTGTGCCAATTGCACGCGCCTGCGACTGCAATGCACCTACAAAAGCACCATTCAAACGGTCATCCCGCGACAACGGCATAACAGTCAGAGCTCAGGCACAGTCGCGAGCGCAGCATCGGCCCCCACCAGCACCGCCAGCACCACCCCATCCGACCGGCCAGACGTGAACTTCTTCCACACCGTCCTTTGCAATGACCGGCTTTCAGCATCAAATTCAGGATCCCCGCAGCAGGCGGGTCCGAGCAGTCGCCCTTCACAGCAACACCAGCAACCCCTAGGTGCGGATAATATCACCTCGTTCGATATTCTCAGTTTCATCGGCGAGATCACCTCCGACTTTCAGCAGAAACACCTCGACTTGACCACGAATGGACTGGCGGGTTTCCCAGCGGGCTCGGTTCCGGCGGCAATCGCGAACGAGGAACTCGATCAGAATGAACGGCCGATCAGTTGGGACGCCGGCTCAGCTTCAGTCTTTCACGGCGATCGTTCAGAGTTGGGGTCGTCTTCGGATACAAGCGGTGCTAGTAGTAGTGGCCATGGTCGGCTGACGTATGAGGATCGGTTGCTTGCACATTTCGTGGAGGGGGACCCGCCGCCTACGATTTTTGGGCCGGTGGATTTGGAATGGGAGTATGTGCGTGCTAATGTTGTTGCGCAGTCGCGCGATAGTCGGGCGGTCTTACATGGGATTTACTGCTACGCGGAGATACATGAGGCGTTGGTTGAGGGGAAAGCGTGGAAATTGGCGTCGAGGTATCATCAGCTGGCGTGTTCCGAGGTGCAGTCGTGCTTGCTGGGCGAAGTAGAGGAGACGCTGCTGAAGAGGGTGTTTACTACGGTGTTATTGTTGATGCTGGCGGAGGTGAGTGTCTCAAGGTTCGCTCTGCATACTTGACTTTGGCTAAAGAGCTGACGAAACAGCTCCTTTCTACCCCTGATCTATGGGGCTCAGGAACGTCCTTTCTCCACTCCGCGTATCTCCTGCTGCAGCGGTTTCACCACCGAACCAAGTTGTGGACCGGTGTGAGCAGTGTTATTGTGTCGTGGGTGTCATTACTGGATGTTAAAGCGCTGATAGCTGGCCGTGATGGCGATCCGCTGATTGATTTGGGCAGCCTTTCATCCAAGGCAAACACTACGTCTGAACTAGGCGTGGAAGACAGATTGTTCGACAACAGCAGCGACGAGGAGCCACCGAAACCCGCATACCTTATGCGTGAAGCCATCACGGGCCCGGCCTTTCGCTTCTTCCTACAAACGCAACAGGTTATCCGACGAATCGTGTGCATCGACTTGCATCACCGCAGTCGCGGGACCGTCAGTGACGAGTTTGAGGTGCTTCAGATAGCACACCAGGTCGGGGCCGATCTTGAGACGCTCTGGAATCGGCGTCCACGCGTGCTGGACGTCTACAGTACGCCCGAGGACCTCTTCGATACTCTACAGCCTGTTATCGCGATCGAAATTTGCCGGACGTTCCGACAGTACATCGCCAACTTCCTAGCGATTTTTATCTACCTACACCGGGTCGCGTTCGCCATCTACCCTCGGACTGACCGAGTGCACCGCGCAGTGGATCGGATTATTCAGTTGGCAACGGCGGAGGTGGAGTCTGGGAGCGACCAGCAACATCTGCCCGCCAGCTTTGTATGGCCGTTATTTGTGGCCGGTCTTGAGGGATCGATGGAGCAGAGAAGATGGATTGTGAAAGAGATGCAGCGGATCACGGGCAGCTGTAGTAGTCGCTGTCAGGATCCCGAGCGCATCCGTGGAAGCTCCCGTACGGCGCGACATCCGCATGCGGGGAAAGCATTGCTCCTGCTGGAGGAGATGACGCGACGACAAGATGCGTCGCGCACCTGGGCGGACTCGCGGTGCGTACGGCGGGAGCTATTTACTGATTTCTTCATCATGATCTAGAAGACGGTAAGTAGCCGTAGGTGAGGCCAAGTGGACATCGGGAGGTTTGCAGGAGACTCCGGAGTGGATGGACATCAACTCGAAACGCGTCGCAGATCTCCTGACCACGTAATCGCACGTCATCTGACTCCCCGCCAGTCTCCATCAGCCTGTATTTACTTCCTTACTTTTCGTCTTCACTTCCTCTCCTCTCCTTTTCGTCTGCTGTCCTGCACTCTTGCATCTCTCCCCATTGTGGCTGTCGCATTCTCTCCCTCGCGACATGGCCCACAATGAGGCCCTACTCCGAACTCCCCCAGGATGCTGATCTCCACGATCCCAGCCATCATGATCCACCGCCGTCCGGCAGCCATGGGAGCGCCTTTCGCCTTTACTGGCTCACGGCAATCGTCTGCTGCGGCGGCCTTCTCTTCGGCTATGACTCGGGTGTGATTGGTATGTAGTCTCCTGAAGACTCACCGCACACCATGCTCATCATTCAATTCCAGGCGGAGTTCTCACCTTCGAATCCTTCCATCGCTCCTTTCGGTATACCGCCGCCGATGAGACACGAGTGAGCGCTATTGCAGTCGGCGTCCAGCAAGCTTCTGCGCTACTTGGCTGCCTGCTTATATGGCCTTTCACAAACCGCCTTGGTCGTCGCCCGGCCATGGCTGTCTGCTCCCTCATCTTCTGTACGGGGGTCATCTTCGAGCTGCTTGATACCCACTCGCTATCCGTCTTCTACGTGGGCCGCGTCATCTGCGGACTAGGGATCGGCGGCTCCGCTACCGTCATCCCCATCTATCTCTCGGAAATGAGTCCCACCGACAAGCGCGCCCGGCTCGGAAGCTGCTATCAATTCGCCTTCACCATCGGCATACTCGTCTCCTATTGGATCGACTATGGCATGCAATTCGCTCCCGCCAATGCCCTACAATGGCAGATTCCATTCGCCGTGCAGCTGATCCCCGGCGCATTAATGGGGTTGGGGATGCTCACGCTCCGCGAAAGCGTGCGATGGCTCCTCTCCCACGACTACGACAAGAACGAGTCCAAAGCATGGGACAGCCTAACCTGGATCCGTTCATCGAACGGACCACACGTGCGCGCCGAGTACCAGCAGATGAAATCCAGCATCGAGCGTGACGCGCACGCAACCGCCGATTTCTCTCCAAAGGAGCTCCTCAGCAAGTCCAACAGCCACCGACTCGCTCTAGCCGTCTGCCTATTCATAGCCCAACAGTCCATGGGGCCAACGGCGCTTGCCTACTTCGGTCCGCAATTCTTCGCCCTCCTAGTAGGCAACAACGCCCACCTGACCCTCCTCCTAACCGGTATCTTCGGCGGCCTCAAAGTAATCGGCTGTCTCATCTTCATCGTATGGGTCGCCGACCGATTCGGCCGCCGACCACTACTCATCCTCGGCGCACTCGCCATGTCCATCTGCATGATAACCACCTCAGTGGTCGTAAAATCCACCAACGTCCCCACCCCCCACCCCTCCACAAATAACCCCTCCTCCACCACCCCCACCATAACCAACAGCGGCCTCCTCACCGTCTCCCTCATCTACCTCGCCATCGTCTTCTACAACCTCTCCTGGGGCCCCCTCCCCTGGCCCTGCACCGCCGAACTCTTCAACACCCGCATCCGCGAACCAGGCGTCGCCATCGGCGTCGCCGCGCAATGGCTCTCCAACTTCGTCTGGTCATTCTCGACCCCGTACGTCCTAGCCGGCGCCAAATGGGCCACCTTTTTGATCTTCGGCATCTTAGACGCCAGCTTCGCCGTCTTCGTCTGGTTCTTCCTACCGGAGACGCGCGGGAGATCTCTTGAAGAGATCGATGCGCTTTTCGGTGATGATGAGGATAAGCTCCATCATGATGATTCGATGTCATCTGCCCTGCTGGTCGGGGAACGGGAACAGGAACATGAGATAGTCGGGGAATATGAACAGGATGGGATTATTTCTGATGATGATGATGCGGGGGCGAAGACGAGTGAGGAGAGGGTGGAGGTTTAGCTATCCTTCATTTCTATATATATATATATATATATTTCCATGTATGGATTGGTTATTTATAGAGTTAGATGGTAGAAGCATGGATTGATCCTTTTTTATAATGTGTTGCAACATGGGAGATGAATTAGCTGCGACTAGAGTATTATATTAGCAGAATTATCATGTTATGATTGATAACTGAACGTGACTGAACGTGACTGAATACTACCTGTGGATTGATTCAGATCACTCCGATAGCATGCATGAACTTAACTAGTCTAATGCGGAAACTAGTCCCAAGTGGAGATAGAACCATCGATCTACTGTACATGGTCTGCCAGTCATGTGAGAGACCATTTATATACTACCACTACTACTACTACGGAGTACTATCTATACTGTATAGACATACAGTGTTTAAACAAATAGAGAATCTCAGAGTAAGCTAAATATCGATTATGATTAGCTACCGGGAACCCACACAGCAACTAGCGTACACTCGTATCATCGTTCATCGTAGCAATTCGTGTTCCTTTGCCCAACCACTTCCCAAAAAGAAAAACGCCCCCTCCCGCAAGTTGGTTTCGAAATCATACAGCAAGCCTACCTAACTATAAAATCGCCACAGTCGCCAGCTACCTGAGCGAGAATAACAAGAATATTACCTTGAACAGCAATCACAAAGTCCCGCCCAATCCATGTGCTTTTTTGTTGGGGGAGTTAGCAAGAAGAAAAAACGCCGTCATGCAGTCGCCAGTCATGTCAGCCATCGAGGGGCTCAGGATAAAACACAGAATAAGACGACACCAGCCGCCATTGAGCCCTGAGATGGTGTTGAACAATGTATAGAGAATGATGGATATAGCAGATGGTTCTAGACATCGAGCAAATCCTCGAAGCCGTCATTGTTGGGAGTCGAGAAGGAGAAGGACGCGTCACTTGCGAGGGTCTGCTCTGAGTCTCGGCGAGGAGTGGGTTCTAGGGAGCCCATCTTTGAGGGAATCTGAATGGGGCTATCAAAGCCAAAGGAGAGGTCCTGCGAGCGGGTCGCCCTACTCGAGCTCGACGGGGTCAGAGCATTCAGGTCCGCTTTTAGGGCGGACGCCCCGAGTGAGTCCTGCTGGGTAATGTTCTTCACCATGGTGCTGAGGTGCAATTGAATAGCCTCATCATTGCACTGGGCATGCTCGAGTAAGTAGTTTTTGAACATGAGGATCTCGCTACGTAGGGCGTCAATTTGACGGGTCAGGTTATCCTTCTGGTGGGAGAGACGCTTGAAGTGCTCGCGGAGATCCTCCGTCTGCCTCTTCTTCTTCTGGCGACACTTGCTCGCTGCCACCCGATTGCGCTCCAGGAATTTCTCACGCTTCGCTTTCTCGCTCAGCTTGTCATCGGCATCGGGGGAAGACGAGTTGTGTGTGCCATTAGTCTTGCGACGCCTGGGCGCTGGTTGACGCGCGTCCGAAGCAGCCGGTTGACTGAAGCTTGCACGGGGAGTTGGGTTGGAATAGACAGCAGCCCCGTCGTACGACTGGAGATGAGACAAGGAATAGAATTCGTCGACCGAATTGAGTCTCTTGTCGTCATATGGAGGGGGCGTGGGTTGACCGTTGCGCACATGCGAGTTCTTCAGGCCTCGCTCAAGACCCGGATTGGTGAAAACCTGCGGATCATGTTTCGCCGACCAGCTCGGTAGCGAAGGAGAAACTGGGCTGAAACCGAAGAGAGTCTGATCGTCCCCGGCTGGGTAAGACATGGAAAGGATGTCGGTCGCCATGTAGGAATTAGAGATGGTGAAGTGAGAAGGAGCCGCGCTAACGGCACCAGGCATAACCGCTTCGTTGGACACGACGGCCTCGCCAGGAACAACAGGCTGGCCGAAAGAGGCTCGAGTCGCCATGTTGAGAGTGAGCTTGATCTAGACTAACCAGAGGGCAGGGCAGAGTCGCCTGAGCAGATTGTAGAGAAAATCGAAATCGATATTAGGAGGAGAGAGAGAGACAGAGAGAACTAGCTATTGAAAGGCAGAGGAGTATGGTTGTGGCGACGGACGGGCAGGGCGAATAGAAGGTATTTAAAGCTCCGGCCGCGATGCCAGAGAAGACCGGAAGCACAAGGCCGAAAGTCAATGAGCAGAGCGGCTTAAAGACACAGTCGGGCACCTGGAACAGAGGTCCTGGGATCTTGTCGAGCCCAGGAGCAAAGCAGTGTGACCGAGGGGAAGATGACCACGGCAGGTACGAGTGATGGTAGGCAGCTACCACGGTTGCGAGGGCGGGAGAGAAAGCAACAAAGGATGAACAATGCACGGACAAGTCAAGAACAAGCGGGAAGGTAAAAAGCTGGAGAGCTCCAACCGGTTGAGAAGGAAGGTTGGCCAGGAGAATATATCCCGACAGGATCAAAGTGGGGGGGTGAGTAGTTGGAGAGAGCGCGAGTGAGTGAGTGTGTTGTGTGTCCAGAACGGGGGCTGGCAGTAGGGGTCCTTCTGGAGCCAGCAGCGGAACCTGGACCAGGAAAATCAGGGAACCGGGCGAGACCAGAAGTGGAGCTGGAGGAGAGCTTTCGTCAGGCAATGAATCTGCAGGTGATCCAGAATCAGAGATGGGGGGGTGTCAAGGGCAGAGGAGGGGTTAAGGTGGAAATGTAACGGAGAGGTCCACGGAACGGAAGAGCCGGCAGAGTTAAAAGAGAGGGTGAGGGAGAGGGAGTTGAGGGAGAGGGACAGAGAGGAAGGAAAGCGATAGGAGAGGAAGAGTGAGAGGAAAAAGGAAAGAGAGAGAGAGGGAGGGAGGGAGAGAGGGAGAGTACCACGGAAAGAAAGAGAAGGAGGGGAAATCCGGATCGAAGTCAATGTGGGAGAGTGATACGAGGGGAGGACAGGCTAGGGTTGGGAGACAAGAAAGAAGATGAAACGAGTGAGGAGATGACAAGCAGAGGAAGAATGAGGATTGGATGGAAGAGAAGAGAGAGACGAGGACTTTCTTACTCACCAACAGGAATCTCCCAAGTGGTTGCGCAAGTGGCAGGGAATTGGGATGTTGAGGTCGGGGAGGATAGAGTAGAGAATACAAGAAGTAGTAGTAGTAGTAGTAGTTGTTGTTGGTGTTGTTTGTACCTTGTAGTAGCTGATGGTGGTAGAAGGAACCAACAACACACAAACCTTTGGATGGAAAGTCAAGTGAGCCGTGAGCAATAAACCGTGAGGAGAACAGATGACAGATGAAGCTTCAACTTCAACTCCCCGAAGGAGCTGGGAGAGAAGTTATGATTATTATGGCTTGATGATTGGGTCAGTCGCAGTTCCGGCGTCGGGAAGCCAAGAGAGGGCATCCACTGGACGAAGAAGACCTGGCCAGAACCGGCCAAGGTTGACATCATTATTGGAAACAAGAGATCTGGAGACTCCTCCGGTCTCCACGATGAGGAAGAGCATGCGAGAAAGAACGAGAAAGTAAGGAAAATGGCTGCGACGATCAGGGGCAGGTCAAGTTCCCTCATTCAGCCGGAGCTGCACGATTACGCAGTTGGTTGGCATGACAGATGCCAGCCATGCCAGCTGGACTGGCAAATGTACTTTGCATCTAGAAGCAATGCTAGTAATTACTAGTACCTGTCGAGTATGGTTCCCTTCAAGAGATCTAGTAGTGTGCTAGAATGGTTTCTACTAAAGGAAAAGGAACTAGTGGCACAGCTACCTTAGTCTCTTTCTATACCCCAGATAAACTTGGAACATAAAGATAGCCATCCCAAGTATGTACTGACTGAATAGAAATCACACCCAGATAACTACAAACAAACAACAACTACCAGATCAGCCCACATCATCTGTTTGCTTCTCCGCCGACGGTTTTCCGAACCCGAGAACCTTAAAAGAAAGGAAAAGGACGAAAGGGTGTTAACAGACCTCGTCTGATATCATCATCATCCTCAAACGTCATCCATTCATGGCATGGGAGGGCAAAACAACCCACTCACTCTAACCCTGGACCTTAAGAAACGAACGGGGGTTCCGTCTTCCCCGTCCGGTTCCACCAGCAAATGATTTCCTACACAGCCCAGGGGGGAAAAACTACTACTAGTACTACTTAGTACTCATAAATAATATGGACGAGAACTCTTTCAACTAAAAAAGTATTACAATATTTCTCAATGAGTCATTCATTTACTTTCGGACTTGATTTCATTTTCCTCATCCATGACAGTCTCGACTAGAGGGGAAGAAAAGAAAAAGAAAAAACCGAGGTGGATTGTCCGGTTTCAGGGAAAGCCAAGTAGTGCCGTTCCTCATGCTGATTGGCGGTTTGAAGTTCCCGACGGGCGGCGCTGTTGGCATTTTTCTTTCCCCATCAAACTTTGTTGGGGGATTCTCCAAATGCAGCAAGTAGTGGTTAAGTACTTACAGTAAGTAGCATGGAATACCTATAAAGAATTGGTCTCGATTTCCGGTTTCTCTCCCGGTTCCTTGATCGGAGAATGAGCCATTTTTCCACATATCATACTATCCAGCAGTTGATATATCTATATGCTAGTGGAAGGGGGAATACATACATAGCAGCAGTATTCTGTACTATGTAGACAAGTAGTTCAAGTTGGAAAGGATCCACATGAGCTGTTTCTCCCCGGGTAAGTTGTGAACTAATAGTCTAGTACTGACAGTACTGACAATAGCCAGCTGGCATGATTCAAGTCCATTTACTCATTTCATCAGCCTGCATCAGATAAATTATCCTAAGTATTTACTCTCTCGACCTACGGACCCCCCTTCCAGGGCTAGCCAGAACTTATCAACCCAACGGCCCTCTCAACAATAAAAGATTATCAAATCAATCAAATGACAAGATGCCAAGTTTTTAAGCCAACAAACAATAAATGAATAAAGTAATAGAAATACAACCACTAATCCACTCAATAAGGATTGAACCTGGTTATGGACGCGTAACCAACTCCCGCAATCATGATATATTCCTTGAAAATACACTTGCATACATGCATCGCACAATTAACCGAGATACATACATACTATGTATATCATGCTTATCTACGGAGTAAGTAAAGTAGTACTTTGATGATGATCAAGTCACAAATAAAGTACTTCCTCCGTGTACTTCAGTCTAGTTAGTCAGTCCCCACGGCCCGGCTTTTCCATCCAACGAACCACGATCCACCGATCGACAAACGAGCCTTCAGCTATCATTTAACCCACTAAACCAACCTAACCTTCTCATACTTCATACAATGTAGATACGTAGTAGTAAGTATTTCCCCAACCACCTCACTCCACATCATCTACCACTACTACCACCACCACCACTACCACTACCAAGTCCTAATAACCACATACTAAGTAACTTTATACACTTCCCGCTTTTCTCCTCACTCCTCACTCCTCAACATCCACCATCCCCATCCTATCAAAATCAATCATGTATTGCGCGTTCAATTCTCATCCCGCCCTTTCTTCTCTAACCCCGGAAACGGACAACTCGAACCACTGGTACTAGTAATTCAGCAAGTGACGACCTTTTCCGCCTTCCCTATTGAATTAATTCATTCCTATCACTACTCAACTCTCTCTCTCGCGAAACTGAGTTGAGTTGAGTGATTTAGTTAATGATCTTCTGGTACGGGTCATGTCATGTCGCCGGCTTGTAGACCCGCTCGACCGCTTCGCTTTCTACTCTGTATGTTCCAAGGAATTATAATTATATTAGTGGGGTGGGCTATGCTAGGCTTACTTTACCTACCAAATAGACTAGGCTAACAGTAGAGGAAAGACCCTATCTGCCTCCAGGCTGGTGTTTGCCTGTTTCATGTTCTGGTTCAGGTCAGGGTCGGGGGATATTTGCTTTGCTGCTGCTGATATCCTGTTTGCCCCACTTTCTTTTTTGAGGCGTGAGATATAGAGAGATACGAATCAAGTACAAGGATATACCTATCCCTACTGCTTTTACTCTGAAAATTTAAGATGTGTAGTATACTCATTATTACTACTACTCCGTACTAAGTACTGCACACTCGATGCATTCGGTAAAAGGTCCTCTGACGGCCACGACATCCAGTCCCCGCCAATCATCCCCCATTCGGAGGCTTATGCACCGCTAACAGGGATCCTTTCAGGTTCCTGCCGCCCCGTCTAAACGGTCGCCATGCTGCTTCATGATTGCTCCAATCCTCCCGTCGGGGCCCAGCAATCACGTCTCAATTCTTGCTATCACCAACCCTACATGGGCTCCGCTCTCTCCACTCTTCCTGCTCCCAGAACCGGATGCTGCCTCGGGCTCCGCTGGGCCTGTGCTCCAGTGCCCCCGTCGTACTATCTATCATCCACCTCCTTTCCTGCTTTCCTTCCCCCCTCCCCCCTCCTTCTCTTCTTCCCTCTTCCTTGCTATTCCCTATTCCTCTCTTTACTCTACACAAAGTACTCTCGCAGACACCAGGATACACCACCATGCTGGATCATCTTGGCCTCATCCTCGCACCTCCGCCGACCCGCTAAACGTTCGCGAGAATCCATGGTGATGCGCTATGGCCCCCCGATGCTCCCAGATCCGCAATTGTCGACTCACCCCTCGCCAATTCTCGATCAGCATCGCTGCAACCCGCTGGCTTTCAATCTCGCGCTGAATGGCCCGGAACGCATCCTCAGGATTTTCCTCCCCCTCGCCTTCCGTCAGTAGTGGCGCCAGCACTCCACTCAGTCGGTCTAGGTTCAGCAGCCCCGACCCAATACTGGCCCGGCAGACGCTGCCCCGGAAGCCCTGGCGTTCCAGCTCTATCAGCCGCTGCGTCTCATGCAGCAAGAGCGCGCTGAGTCCGAACACCCCACAGATCAGGTTCAGCTGCATCGAGTCGCTGAGCGCCAGAATCGCCAGACTCATCGCCTTGACCTGGACGAAACCCCGAGGTGAAAGCCCCCCGAGGCAGGTCCTTCGCCGCTCCACTGGCTCGCTCGTAAGGTGGCCCTGACAAATCTGGACCAGCACTCGATAAAGCCGGCCCGACCCTAGAATCCCCCCTGGGAGTCCGGACAGAAGAGCCTTGAACGCCCATGCCACGCTCAACACTTGAATGGCGTCGCCACTATCCCCATCCCGGTTCAGAGGGTCCACCACATCCGCCGGTATCGTGCCACTCGCAACCGTCATCTGGATCTTGTCTTGCTGCTTTTCCACCGAGTGCACCTGATTGGCGTAGTAGTCGTACGTCCGTGCCGCTAGTTTCGGATCCCCGGCGTCGACAAAGACGTTTCGTACAGTAGGAGCTGTAAATGACGTCAATAAACCAATAGCCTGCGACAGATAGAGTATCCTAGTGGAGCATGGTGGATTCCTACCAAAGCATCCCAGATAGGTGATAATCGCCACAAAGCATACGGGTAGCTTCAATTTCGTAGGCGCAAAGTCGGCCGGAAGAGTGAGCAGATTGTACCCCCCCAGTCGAGCCAGGTCTTCCAGGTGTTTGCCCTTCAATGAAGTCATATCGGCTGATCGGCGCGAAAGGCTGGCGAACGTCCTCATCCGACGCAAGGTTCTTTTGCGGGGTGCGTCTGACGATCCAAGCTGGAGGGTCGACCGCATGGTTCGTATGCGTCCATAGAACTTATCCCGACGTCTGGGAGGATCATCCCCGGTGGCTGTATGGGATAGACGACTATCAGGTGATCGTTCAGCTACTATGTCGTCAGAAACTGGGATGTCTGGTATATCACCTGTCGATCTCTGGCTCTGGGGCACACAAACCTGACACCTGACCCCATTCAGCACCCCCGTGAGCACCAAGCGTGTCGTCGACCTCCAGCGGCTCAAGACGCAATCTACCGGCCAGCTCATTGAACGCTATAACAGCCGCGTGGCGATCCCCTTGTTCCAATGCGTAACTGTCGTCAAGCGAGGCGGCAAAGTCCGAACTCTGCCTGGATGAGCCCCGTGATCTGTAGGAGCGGGTCTGCCTGAAGGGATTCCCTGGCTTCTCTGTAGTCCGATGGCGGCATGTCGACAAGACACTCGCACTACTGCGCTCTGAACTATGTTGTCTGCTGGCGTACGAAGTAGCTCCCTTCTGATCTTCGAGATTGACGCTGGACTGTGTTGTAGAATGAGACGCCTCTTGAATATCACTATAGGGGTTATGGTAAAGACAATCCTGATCGACCAAGGTAATTGGCATGGATTTGTGCTTCGACGGATCATGGCAGACAGTCACACTAGTTAGATCTGAGCTGAGCGAGTACACCGTCTTGTCACTGACCTTTCTATCGGCATCTCCATTCAAAAGGTCGCTGGACTGAGTAACCTGAAGCCCGACGGGCTGCTGATTCTCTAAATGACCAGTAGCCGTAGATTGATCCTCATTACAGCCCTCTTCCACCACAATGATGGGCTTTGCAGACAGACCAGACGACCCTGATTCGAGTCGAAGATGCTGCGACTTGCGTGAGCGAAACAGCGTCCTGAACCCATTCAGTTTGGAACCTTTGTCTCCCGAACTTATATCCAAGGCGTGTCTCTTTGGGGCTGCCACATCCTTTGGCAATAAAATTGTATTCCTCCTACTATCGTGGTGCTTTGCTATGTCTCTTGACCCAAGAGAGGCAGCTAGCCCGGCGTTCACCGACGAGAAGGGCACAGAAAGTGATAGCCTCTGGTCCATGGATCGTTTCAAGCTGTCGCTGGTACATTCCAAGGTATCCATCACTGCATAGACGCTGCACAAGTGATTAAGTATGCTAGAGAAGGAAGATGCAACAATCGTTATAGAGATGTGAGTGCTCGGTGTGGCATGGCCTGGGGGTTTGTTATGTCAATGTCAGGATCGCTCCTTCCTCTGTTGTCCAGTGATACTAAGAACTGGCGAGGAAGGCTTCATTCACCAGGCAGACTCAGCGAATGGCCGGATTGACCGGGCTGCCCGGAACATGATTCCATATACGTGAATGTAAATCACGCAGCTTGGACAGGGAATATACAACGCTAACGATTGCGAGGACAAAACTTTGCCGTTCAATAACAAAGGTCCATGAATGCTTGCTAATACAACTGCAACCGCCACGCTCACAAGTAATAATCAACTTCTCACGCTGAGCGGGCTATTTCTACAACTGAAGTTCAATGACAATGTCTAGATGTATTGTGTACACGAGTGCCTTTGTAACCGGGATATAGACCGTTGCGCCATAAAGTACCGTCTACTTTTGCATTTCAAACAAGACGGACAAAAGCCCAAGTGCTCAAATACCAAGAAACAATATAAGGGGGTAGAACCGTATAATCAAGTCAATAACGTGCAGTGGGCTACCGTTGCCAACCAAGGAGGCCCGGGAACCGACACTGGCACGCAAAAACGCCTTTCCATGCAAGTTGTAAGTATGCGTAGCAGCGCGACAAGGCGCAAATACATTGTTCATGATGACTCGTCATTTTCACCCTCCAAAAGGATGTACTGGAGAATATCACTCAAGGTCAGGACACCCTTTAGCCGGAAGTTGTCGTCCACCACAACCAGGCGGTGTACACGGGATTTGCGAATCGTGTCGAAAATGGTATCCAGACCATCGTTCAGGGAGCATGTGTAGATTCCGGGAAAGTCCTGGGAGTAATGAGTCAAATGTACTAGGAAATTCTTGTGTGACAGAGCCAACTTACCGGAGATCGCTTCTTCAACGCCTCGCCCACCGTTAGACTCAAATCATCATAGACACCTCCTTTGATCAGCGTTATCACGTCGACAGCCTCAAAGACGTTGTACACAACACCTGCGAAGATTACGAAATCAGTACACATACATGCGCGCTCCAACGTAGTATCGCCTACCTTCAGTATTGATGATGGGGACACTTGATATGCTCCGTGAGACGAGGATGTGAATCACGTCAATGACCGGTGTATCCATCGATGCGACTGCTATATTGTGATACGAGCCCAGCAAGATCTCACCAAGGGGCTTCCGTAACTTCTGCGTGTCGTTGACGTTGACGGCGACAAACTTCAGGATGCGGTACTGGGTGAGAACACTCAGAACGAGGGCTCGATCGGTCTGACTATCAAAAGTAACCAAAGGAATTCTCCTGGCGCGAGACTCGAGCATGCGCCGACAGGCTTCGTAGAGCGGCCGCTCTGGGTCAATGGATATCGTTTCGGGAGGCGCCACATGGAGCGCCTTTTCGACTTCTAGAATAGAATGTCAGCCTGTGTGTTCCTGCTGGAAAAAGCGCCAGACGCACCTCGTAGACTATCCAAGCGGAATTGATCGATCTGGTTCAAAGCCTCGGGGTTCTGGTAGTAGTACTGGATAACATTGATGTAGTCGGATGTGGTGAGAAGACCGGCAAAGGTCGAGGATGTAGAGTCCCATAGCGGAGCCGAAACGATACCTGTATTGTGCATGCTTTCCAGTCAGCGAGATTGCATTCGGCGATGCGCATAGCCCGCGGAGCCGCAGGAAGCTGGTGGGAAAAAGACATGCCGTTCTGTATGAGGATATTCAGACTCTCCTTGACGGACAGCGATGTATCGAACATGATAAGTCGGAAACTGAGCGGAAGGACATCATAGCTGGTACGGACTTTGAGGAAGTTGCGTATGGCACGCTACAGGGATGAAGAGAGACCAGAATCCGATTAGTTGATCCATTTGATATCTTTGTGGAAACAATTACGAGCAAGCAGTTGGCAGCCAAGGTCACGGCACATTGGCATTGAGCGCAGGCATGACAGAGCCTGAACCATGGCAAACAAAGTGATATAACAGGTTTATGTACGAAGCAGTGCGGACCAAAGAGGGGTAAGGCGGCGATGGACATGAGCGGGGCAAACAGGAAGATTTGAGGGGAAAAAGCAAGCAACGGGGAGGAGAAAAAGGAAGAGAAAAGCAAAGCAACTCACTAGGGCCTGACGCTCTTCCCGATCGATCGCCCTTTCGGGCTGAGCGGGGGGCATTGGGTGTGATAGACCTCGCGGCCGGAGAAAGGAGGCGGGATACACGAATCCTCCCTCGTGACCGCGGATAGGACGACGGTCTGGAACAGGAGAGGGAATGGGCGAGGGATAGGAACCGGTGGAGGAAGGCGGGCGAGGGTAAGGCTGAGGTGGAGTGGACCGAGGAGAGGCAGCAGCAGGAGGAGGAGGAGGAGCAGCAGGAGCAACAGCAGCAGCCGTGCTAGTCAGCGCAGTAATGGTGGAGGTGGTCGAGGTGGTCGTTGCAGTGGTAGTAGTAGTAGTGGTAGTTGTGGTAGTGGTGGTGGTGGAGGTGTCGTCGGTGATTGAAAGCGGCCGCCCGGAAGTGCTGCTCATTCTGCCCGTGGGGACTACGGGCACCCGCTGGGGAGCTTCCTCCATCTTGATTGCCCAGTGCCGCTACTGTCGTGGGACCGCAAAACACATCCAGACATTCAGAATGGACGAGACAACGAAAGTTAACTCTGGGTGGAAATGATCTCCCAGACCTGTAGGATCAATAGCAGCTCAAGGCTTGATGCACTTGACAGGGGTTATAACCCGCCGGTGCCGCTGGGATAATAGAACTAGTAGTATTCCTAGTGATATGGATAGGCGGGGAGGAAGAGGATCAGTATGGGATGTTAAAAAAAATAGAAAGGAGAATGTCTAGGATCATCTGAGAAGACAGCGCGCGACGAATCATGCGCAGGATGCTTAGGATGATGCATCACATCTCCTGATTAATTAATCTGCCTACTATCTTAGTTAATTAAGACCCCAGTCGCCTGGATAGTTGCAGGTGAGAAGAGTGCACCAGGAACGAGGGGCATCCAAGGCGGACATTGAGGTGCCAAAATTCCAAACAGACATTCTGACAGGCTACAATATGTGCAGTGTGTCATATTCAGGGGGTGTTTGTGTTTACTACATGCCGCAGCCTTCCATTTCCAGCATTATGTATTGCTGCAGCTTCGTTGAGAGAACTTGAGTGGTGGGAGGTGGTGGGATACATGCCTGAGGCAGACACTGCCCCGCCATCCCCACACGTGACAGGCCACTGCGGAGAAAGCTTCGAGTCGCTTTGCTTGACTAGCTCCGGTCTTTATTTACGCCGACATCAATGCCTCCATAGACGTTGTTACGCAACAGTGCGATACCAAGAAAAAGTTGCTGAGGATAATTGGGCCATGTGTCTAATTGCACCATAAGTCTAACCGAGAGCTTGAAGAAAACGATGCCAAAGAATTTTAAAGGCGTATCTATGCTTTATGCCACAGCCAGCCATGCAATCGCCAACGCTCGAAGAACAATTAAAGACATTTCTACCCGGAAGTCGCACAAGATGGAAAGTTTTATGCTGTAGGCTGCGCTCCACCGTTCGCTCCCTCCGTCTGAGAGAGACTCGGGCTGGTGCCCGTCTTCAGATAGTTCTCAATCTCACCAACACGTTTCCCGCCCTGGATCCACCGCTCCTTGTATGCTGCTCGGCGCTGGTCGGCAAGTTTGTTGAGCGTCGGCCAGTAGATAGAATGGTCGTACCGGAACTCGACCTCACCGCCCATGGACTTCATCAACTGGCCTGGAGGCACGTGCTGACCCAGGTCCTCGTTGAACTTTAGCTTTTGGCGAGTCAATGGGTCGATGAACGGCGTGATGATCTTGAAGAAACCAAGGATCATGAAAGGCACTGAATGCGGTCAAGGACTATCGTTTGCATGGTATAGGGATAACTCACTGTTAATCACAAGGGCGCGGCCCATTCTCTCGGGGTAGTGGTTCTGTAGAAAGTTGAGGGTCTGCTTGGCCTGGCCGATACTCGCGTTCTGACCCGACTTCGTCTCCTTGTAGTTGACGATCAGTGCCAGCGTCTCCTGGTCCGGCCCCATGAGGTCAATAACGCGCTCAAGCATAAAGACCAAGTGCTGGATCTGGCGGTCGCTCGTTTCCGTGTTCTGGTTTGATGGCAGCAGGTACAGGCATGGGCGCCCGTGAATGTCATATCCCAGAATGACCTGCTTGCCCGTCTCGTTCTCAACGGAGATATATTCGGCTGTGAGCTTTTCAACGCCGTACTCGCGGCGCCAGGTGAGCGTGCGCTGAAGGCGCGCGATTGCCTCGGAGACATTCCATTTGGTTGCGCGCAGGTACCGCAACAGGCACTCGCGGGTCAGGAACATGCGCTCATCGTCGGTAATAGGGGCGGTAGGAGAACTCTTAGCGGACGTTGTCGGAACCGTGGTCCATTCTGAGACAGCCTTCAGGACATCCTTGTATTTTGCTTGCTGATCGGAGGTGAGCTCGGCCGGGGGTGTTGGCTTGGCCGATTCAAGGGGGCGGGGAAAGGGCTTCTGGATGAGACCGTCGGCGGCGGACAAGGGCAATTGCGATTCGAACTCCTCGATTTGCTTGGCTAAATCTGTGGATTCTGCGGGCTTAGTGGTAGTCTCAGGGGTAGCTGCGATCTCAGCAGAATTTGAAGGTGACGGGTCAGAAGAGGTGGTCTGTGAGGCATCGACAGCAGGAGTATTGTCGGCGGGCGCAGCGGCCGGGGGGTTAGAGTGAGCGCTCATGATGAAGAGCTTGCTTGGATCTGTTGAATCTAGTGTAGATAATTGTAGTGTAAGTGTCTGCCTTGTCTGAGGGCACCAAATTTATAAATCGCAAGACATCAGCGAATATAATAAAGGGGGAGAACGGCAAGCAGCTTCCCGGGTGTCCTTTTTCACGCCGTAAGATTGAGCAGGGCGGAGTGTTGATCGGCAGGCCCACCGATCGTCAGCTGCAAACCTCCGATGGATTAATCAATTGCAGTCAAAAAATACGTGGTCCCGCGGGTCGTGCTGCGGTCTCTTTTCGGCAGGCGGTCGCATCAACCAATTTGCGCGTCTCACGCGTCGCGCGTCATTGCAGTTCCGATAGAGAGCCGCATATTGGTTACTATCCAAACTCATCAATAAGCCAAGGTTCCAGTCAACATGGAGGACTCTGTCGCAGAGCTCAATGAGCTCTTTGCTGCCGCTGCTCCAGATGGTCTACCCAAGGATGTCCTTACCGAATTGCAGTCAATCCTGCGCATCCATTCCATCTCCGCGCAGGAGCTCTTCTACAAATGGGAGTCTTATTGTCTGAAGATGGGCCCAGATGAGCTGAAGATGGACCTGGGTACCGTGCGTCTATTCAAGAAAGATGTGCAGGATACATTGGAGCGAGACGCCCGCGGCAAAGCAGGCCGACAGATGGAGAGGAAACCAGCAGTACCGGCCACTCCGCGCGCTGCTACGTCAGATGTTTTTGGCATGTATGTTGAGTATCAATGATTTAATGTACAAATCTAACGAGTCAGGCTGGACGGATTAACACCAGGTGCTTCTGGTCGGAGCAATGCCGGTTCAGCGAAGCGGAAGTCCGACTTTGCTTCGCCATCAATCTCCAAGATCGGGAGAACCGAACACAATGGATCTCCGATGAGTACCAGTGTGAAACAGACAAATGGTGATGGGCTACAGTACGTGCGCGAATCACCGTAAAAAGCCCGCAACTGACGAAGCAGATCCATCCCCTTTTCCCAGCGTCAAAATGCAGGCGAAACCATCGAAACCATCAATTCCCATCTCCCACAAGCAGAGGCCCCTATCGCGCCATACTCCGAAGCCCGCATACGACCGACGGCAAACACAGATTTGAAGAAGTTCGGATACAAGCCTATGGCCATGCGACTGGCCGAGGCATCGGAGATCTTGGACGACCGCATCGACGAATTCATGGCATTGTTTGAGAAACAGTACGGCAGCGACGAGATCACATTCGGCAGCGCCGCTACGCAAAGCACCAGCGAGATCGTGGCCGTCGGCCGCATCGCATCCGACAGTATGGAAGGAAAAATCAACACGGCGTCACTCGTGCTCGAGACGTCCAGACGTACAGGAGCAGGCATCCGTGTTCCACTGAAACTCGAATCCGTGCCATCTGCCAACTTCTTCCCGGGCCAGATCGTGGCGCTGCGCGGCATTAATGCGTCCGGCAACTACTTCTCCGTCAAAGAGGTCCTCCCCACACCCCTTCTCCCACCGGCCGCTTCGTCAGTCATCAACCTTGAAACCATCAACCAGAGACTCGAAGACGCTGGCTCAGCGCCCTTGAACGTTCTCGTCGCTGCCGGCCCGTACACAGCAGATGATAACCTCGACTACGAGCCACTAAAAGAGATCTGCCGCAAGGCAGCAGACAGCTACGCGGACGGCCTCGTCCTGCTCGGGCCCTTCCTGGACATCGAGCATCCCCTGCTGGCCTCGGGGGATTTCGATCTGCCCGAGATCAACGGCGTGGACCCGGACACGGTGACGCTGACGACGGTATTCCGGCATTGTATCTCAGCCCCGCTACAGCGACTCGTGGCAGCCGTGCCCAGCATCACAATCGTTCTGGTGCCGTCCGTCCGCGACGCAGTCAGCAAGCACGTCTCCTGGCCGCAGGAGCAGCTACCCAAGAAGGAGCTGGGCCTGCCGAAGCAGGTTCGCATGGTGTCCAACCCGGTGACGCTGTCACTGAACGAGACAGTCATTGGAATGTGCTCGCACGATGTGCTATACGAGCTGCGACGCGAGGAGATACTGCACGGCAAACCAACGGAGGGGAACCTCCTGACAAGACTGCCCAAGTACATGATCGAGCAGCGACACTTCCAGCCGATGTTCCCGACATCGAGCAGAGACATGCTGCCACGAGCGGGGACCGGTCTTGCAACGGGGGGAATGGTCGACGTGAGCTATTCGAAGCTGGGCGAGTGGTGGAATGTGCGGCCGGACGTGTTGATAACGCCGAGCATGCTGCCGCCGTTTGTCAAGGTCAGCCCGTCCACACCCAGCAATCCGTATAATCTATGATAATGCTAACAACCAGACAGGTAGTGGACAGCGTCACAGTGATCAACCCCGGCACGCTCTCCAAGCGCCGCGGCGCAGGCACATACGCACAGATGGCGATCCAGCCACGACGCATAGAAGACGACGAGAGGGAGCAGAAGCAGGTCAGCCATAAATTGTATGAACGGGCCCGGGTAGACATAATACGGATATAGCGCAGCGCAGCATAGCGCAGTATAGCAGCAGCAGCAGCAGCAGTAGTATACATGATAATGATGATTCCACGAAAGACTCCTCCGATACCCATAAAAACCACACAACAAACGCAGGGTATAATAGCGTAGCCTAGTCATAACAATAACCATAACACCATCCCATCTTCCCATCCATCCCATTGGTATCCTATCCCTCCCTTAATACCAAACCACCCTATGCATCATCCCCAACCAACAAGACAAAGAAAGATCACCTCAAACAAACCACCCTCCTCCTCCCCCCCATCAACCTCCCCTCCCCTCTAACCCTCACCTTCGCGCCTGCCCCTCCTGCCCCTGCAGCCTCTCCTCCCCCGGATCCATCCCCCCTAACCAACCCCTCCAGTCCCAAATCCCTCCACGCCCCCTCCCCTCTCCTCCCCTGCAGCGCCATAGCCCTCGCAATCCCAAACGCGGCGTGTTGATCCGGAACCACATCGTCTTCGTCCTCCGGGTTGGGGGGCTGATACTGCGGCGGGATGTAGATGTCTTCGATGGGGAGGAAGGAGGGCGTGAGGGTCGGGGAGGTGCCGGTGCCGCCGCCGGTGGCTGCTGCTGCTGTTGCTGCTGCTGCAAAGGCTTGGGTTGCGGTGGATGTGTAGGGAGAGGAGGAAGAGGTGGTGTGGTGTGGGCGCGTGAAGTCTTCGAAGTAGTCGGCTAGTCGGGGGTGGTGCATGTGGAGGTGGGTGGGGGTGGAGTCTTTGCTCTGTTTTGTTTTTTTGGGATTTGGTTAGTTGGTGGGTTGGATGGTTGGGATGTTTGGGGGGAGGGGGTTTTGGTGGTGGTGGTGAGGGGATAAATTGGGATGGAGGGAAGAGGGTATTGGGGAGGGGTGTACCATTTTGGAGGGAGATTGTGGGTTGGAGTTGGAGTAGAATGGATGTGAGTTGAGTGTGTAGCTGGTGTTTGGTGTCTGGTTGATGTTGTTATTGTGGATTAAGTTTGGTGTATTGTGTTGGTAGTTTGTTGTGAGTTGTGTTGTTTAAGTGGTGTTGCGATAAGCATTTACGGAATTGAATCAGGATCACCGCTTTCATCTCCAACTACGAATCATATCCACTCACAAGTAAATCACATTGCATCCATTATCTACCTAATAACCAAGATACAAAACTACATATTCGTACTCATCCGATGCACTATAGGTACTGCACTCGGCGGCAAACTGCCCATCTCCGTCACCACCATATCCACATACTCCGCCGGCGTCACATCATACATGATATTCAGCAGCTGCAGATTCGCCGACTCCTTCCAGTCCTCCAGCGGCGATGACTTGCTCTGTGCCGCCGTGCTCGTCTCCACCGGCGCACTGCTAGCTTTGCCGCCCTTCTTGGGCTCTACGGCCGGCTGCACCGCGGGATCCGGCAACCCGGTCAGCTGCTGCACCGGCTCGACCGTCACCAGCTCATCGGCGTCCGCAATCTCGTTCACGACGATACTGTCCAGCGCGACGCGGTCCGTGAACTTGACTGTCTCGCAGCATACAATGACGGGAACTTCGACGCCGCCAGCGCGCTCCTTGGCCGACATGGCGACCAGCGCGGTGCCGACGCGCGAGTACAGGCGACCGTTACTGGTCATGGCGTGGGCGCCCAGGAAAACCTTGGTAGCATCTTTGATGGCGTGGCTGATGCCGTTCATGAGGGAGTATTGCACGTCCAGACCGGCGTTGGCGAGCGTGCGCGCCAGATTCTTACCCTCGAACAGTGGCCGCGAGTCGATGATGGAGACACGGAATTGCTTGCCCTCCTTGTGTGCCGCCAACAGCGTCTGCTTCACGATCGAGCTGCCTGCAAATGTCACGATCACGTCTCCATCCTGAATCTTCTGTGCTGCGCTGCCGGCGATAACCTGGTCGGCGACGGTGATCTTCTCGCGGATGAAGCTGTCGATGAAATCGCACAGCGAGGCCTTGGCGGTAGCTTCGGGGACGGACGGATCAATGGAGGAGATGGCGAGCTTGAGGGCGCGGATAGCGTTACCCTGACTGATAGACAGGGGACGACACGTAGAAAGGTAGGTAATCTGGTGAGAGAGGTGGGTAGTCAAGTGGCGGGCGAGCGAGGTGCCCAGGGGGGTAGTATAAGCTTCGATGACCTGACAAACGTTAACACATCACAGCACACAGCCAACACCAAGATAGAAAGATATACCCTCTTGAAGGCCAACAACGTAGCAACACATCTAGCACTACTACCACAAACCACATAGTCTCTCATCTGCATGCCCAGCGCCAAAACCGCCGGATGCACCTCCTTTCCAGCGCCAGCAATCGTAGTCCTGCGCTGCTGACCATACAAGTGTCCAAAGACCGAAACATTCTTCTCCTCCTGCTTCTTCTTCAACTCCGCCGCACTCGGCTGGCCCGTCGCCTGCGCCGAACCGCGACGAGGCAGCTGCTTCTGATGACCACCCTTCTGCGGCGTCGCAGCACCAGAAGCGTCTTTCCCACCAGCCCCAGTACCACCGGGACCCGACGCGCCCTTCTTCCCACCAGCAGCAGACTGACCCCCACCGGGCGCAGCACCACCAGCACCACCACCGGACTGTTCACGTTCGGCGCGTTCGCGAGCGCGACGGGCGGCCTTTTCGGCTTTGGCTTTCTTCTTCAATTCGGCGGGGGAGAGCGCAGCGCCATCTCCACCAGCGGCGGCAGTATCCTTTCCTTTGGATTGTGATTGTTGCTGTTGTGGTTGTTGCTTGGCGGGCTGTGATTGCTGCGGTTTAGCGGGCTTAGCGGAGGCGTTGGCGCCGGCGGCAGCGCCTGGGGATGATGATGATGATGATTGCTGGGATTGCATTTCAGCCGGGGGTTGTGAGGAGTCGACGGGGGTCGCCATTATGAGAGGTGATGTGTAGTCGAAGGAAGGAGGGGGAGTATCGAGGCGATCGGGAGGGGCATTGGAGACTTTTTCGGCGGAGGAGGAAGTGGAAGAAGAAGTGGATGTTGTGGGGGGAGCCGGCGATGAAACCCGTTCCCGTCGTTGACTCACGCTTTGCTGCTGCTTCACATAAGCTGCTGTTACCACCACCACCAAAACACCCACGTATTGCACCACGGTGCTTCCCAGAGTAAGGAGTATCTCTAGGAGTATCATTCCACTGTGTTACCTCACCTCACTAGTAAAGGTTTCTGTGGTGGTTGGGAGTGGAGTCATCGGGGCTGCGAAACCGGATCTCACCGTTGATGACTAGCAATTGCTTTACATCTATCTACTATTTATCTATAACTGACACCTTCATGTATCAAGGTAGACTTACTAACTATAGCAGGTACCTGAGTCAGAGCTGGGCAGACATTCTGTCAAGCCACAGCCGATGTGCATCGACTAATCACAAGGTTTCATGGTATTCGGGCATCAAGCATCCTTGTCATCCTACCATACAATCATGTCATCGTGCCAGAAAAGTGAAAGCTAAAGGCCAGAAGAGAAGAAGGAAGAAAAGCAGCAAAGATATCATCGCAGCGAGACGCAGTTCAAATCAAACCAGCGTCTCCAATTATGTGCATCCAAGTCAATCCATCCAACGCCATAATCACAAAGCCACCCACGCTACCCAGCCCAATCCCATCCCATTCTATTCGCGAAAGTTGTCCATTTATCGATTGTTGACCCAAACATTGCCCAGCGCTCGTCGTCGCTTTCGTCCTTCAGGCTTCCAGCTGGGTCGGAATCGTTCGTGGTCCGTCGCTATCTTGCGCTTGAACATACTCAGATCGTCCAAAAGGTTCTCCATATGCGTCTGCACTTCCTGCGCCTCAACATGACTGGCCTCGCTTTGCATCGTGTCTTCATCTTCCCAAATGAGGTCCGGCTCGGGTTCGGGCTCGACGTCGGACGGAGGCGATCGGGCACGGCTGAGCCGCTTGCGATTGGACGGGGAGCCATCGTTCTCATTCACACTGTATAAGCCACTCCGGCGCTTATGCACCACCACCGGAGGGATCGGGTTCCGGATACTGTCCAAGGCCAGCTTGAGGTGATTCCGCAGGGCCTCGTTCTCCGTCTGCAGCTGCCGAATCTTACATTCACTCACCATCTTCGTCTCCTCCATCAATCGCTGGAGCTTCTCCACCTTCTGCTGATAATCTTCGAGGCGCTCGTTCTGCATCTCATTCTCTCGTCGGTTGGCTGCGGCCAGGCTGACACTCAGCTGAAGCGTGCGGATCGTTTCCGCCATTTCGGCGATTTGTTTATCACGTTCGGCGGCGGAGAGGTGGTCCTGGTTAACTCGGGCGCGTGTTCGGATGCGCTTGGCCTGGTCTGCGTATCGTAGGGTGGAGAGCGTTTCCTCGTAGTCACTGGGAGAAATACATGCTATCATCGCCGTCTTCGAGTTGCCCCCGAGACTATCTTTCAGCAGCCAGGTCAGGATCGAGTCGCGATACGGGACCACATCCTTGCCCTTGCGTTTGCCCCCGCGACCCGGCTTGGGATCTGCCAGTGCGGCAATGACTCGGCCCAGTGTGGTCAAGGACTTGTTGATGTTGGACCCCTCACGCAGTCGTTGACCGGTTGCTTCCGTGGACTTGGCTCGTTCTGAACCTGCCAGATCAACGAGACGTATTCGTGCCGTGCGCTCAGTGGTTTCATCAGTCGAAAGGTCATGGTGGATCTGCTTCAGAGTAATAGTAAACACTGCGTGTGACCGCGACGACGTATCGTTCATCTTAGTGCTAGCCACCGTGCGCGATACATCTCCCTTGCGCATGAACTTCATGAGTTCGTCGAAGCTCTTGACCGTCACCTCTGTTAGGTCCTTGACGTACGGACCTTCCAACGGGGACTCCCGAACACGAAGGTAGTGCGGCGGGTCGCTCCGAGGGACGAGCAAATCGCGCACATGTTCATTGTAGACCTCGAAATAGGAGACGCGCACATTGAAACTAATATCCGGAGATTCGGCGCTTTCGATGCGTTGGAACAAATCTTCGCAGGTCCGAGGAATCAACCCAGGCGCTTCCGGTGTGCCCATCATGGTATAACTCTTGCCAGAACCCGTCTGGCCATAGGCGAATATGCAGGTGTGGTATCCTTCGAAATTGTGGTCCAAGAACTCTTCTCCCAAACAGTTGTAGACGTCTTCCTGGTGGGCGTAGTGGGGGTCCCGTTCGTTATGCGACCAGAAAGAATTGTCAAAGACAAATGATTTATCCTCCAACACCTTTCCGCGCGCCTGCGATTTAGGCTTCCCTTCGTCTTCCGGGCTTATCTGGGGCGCTCGAAGTTTGGTCGTCTGCGTATGCGGATCCATGCTGATCAGACATTCGGCATTGCGGTTAATCTCTATGCTCCCAAATATGGGATGGCTGTCAGCTTCCATCCGTAATACTCTTCATCGTTCAGCCAGACGTACCTCTGGGAAGGAACTTCCTCACACGGACGACAACGCGCACGTTGCCGCCGCCGCTGGAAGGACTAGACATGCTATCGACTCGGTGGTGGGCAGACACGGCCACGCCCTCGCGTGCGCGCAGTGACGGACTGGACGCGGTTGATCGTAAGGTAGCGGCGGAGGCAGTCATCGAATGGGCCGAGGGACTGGTGATGCCGGTTATCGCGGAGATCCCGGAGGACGAGGCGGAGGATTGGGAGCCAGGCCCGGAGCCGTGGCCGATATGGTGGTAGAAACGGGGGTCCAGGGACATGGCGTGACCGTGATCCCTCAAAAACTGTACAAACTGAGTGAGGTGCTCACGATGGCGTTGAAGTAGGCAATGGTACATACAGGCAACTGTACCACCGGATGGTAGGGACCGAGAGGCGGGCTCTTTTCTTATCGAGGAGGGATTGATTTTAAGGGTATGGGTGGCTGCTGCGTTAGTGGACCCAAGAATGGGCGTAGTGCTCGCCCTCGAAGGGGGGAATTAAACAAGGAGGATATCCAGAATGTATATGCTTGCGCGGACCGTCCGTCTGCAAGTTCAATTGACATCCGGCACTAGACAACAGAGCGATTCCACTCTCGACATGGGGTAAACAGTCGGGCAGTCGGGGGTTTCGGGAAAGCTCCTGCGATGGAAGGTGAAAGAGAGAAACATGCAGTGGCACGCAAGGGGATGGAAGACAGTACACACTTCCCCCCTCTCGAAGAAGGTACACGGGGAGATGCAGCGATCGAGGAGGGACCAGAAGCAACAATCGAGAACTGGGGGGGTGTTTGATCGTGGGGAGTTCAAGATGAATGAATCGCAGCGCCATGACCTCGTTTGGGGATTTCCCGATCGGGAATAGCAGACAGCCTGAGGCAGCGCATAGACCTTCTGGCAGCGGGTGGTTGCCATGGCAATTCTACAGACAGCCAGGGACACGAGCTCACGATAAGAAAGACTACTGCTGTGTTCGGAGAGACACAGACCGCCGAGGATGTAAGGATATGTCTCGATTGCATACAATCTGATTGTTTCGGTTGGTCCGGTGGTCAAGGAGTGCACCACCGGGAAATTACTAGCACTATCCACATTTACACATTGCATGCACTCATGTCTCAGCATCCACCGCTCTTGTCCTGCAAAGAGTGACTGACAGCATCGAACATTCCGCATGGTCTCATATCATATAGCCGCGTTGCTCCCTCTATGGACGCCTCCAGCGTCATTATTCCCACCGGGCTTGACTTAGTCGAAATCCTCATTTGCGGCCTCAAAGACATCTCCTTCGTCCGGGCCTTGTCGTCCTTTTCTCATTTTTTCCCCGTCAATATAGGAATCATCGGGCACAGGGTTGCCGTTCCTATCCAATGTTGTTTCAAACATCTCCTCCGGGGTCCAGTTTGCACTGGGATCCTTGGCTTTGGAGGAGGTACTGGGCGCAACCTTCTCCTTGGCGGCTTCCGCAAGGCGCGAGACGGGATTTGAACCTCTTGAGGACATGGTGGTGGTTGTATGCTTTCTGTAGAATCTATTAGTTGATATTCCGGCTAAGACTGCTGGCCATCTCCACGGCAATCGAGCACATCTGCACCCGCAACCAAGGAAAAACAGCAAGCGTACCAGATGGTAGTACAGTTGCCTAGATGGACTTTAGTTGTGATGGTTACATTCAGATCGACGTATCATGAAACCAACGACAGAAGCGAACTGGGGCACGGGCCCGGCATGATATATGGTCCAATGGTGGCGTTAATGATGAGATTATGACGATGGGACTATCCGCATGATGGACTTTACTCACAGGCGGCTGTTGCTCCCAGCCGCACCCTTGTCGGTCTCGAAGCGTTGTGATTGCGTGGTTTTGGCTGGGTGAAGTCATTATGAAGTTTAACCGGTTCGCATTGGCTGAGCCTTCGTAAAAGCAGGGCAGGATCCATGGTCGCTTGCAGTATGGTTGCGTTGTCTTCGATCGTTGTTCTATGGGGTCCATGGTACATTAGTTGGTCTCACTAAGATGCATATCAACTTATGATGACTTGATGGAATGTTTGTATAGCCGATCGCTCCAATGTACCCCACCCGGGGTTAGATTCGACCCCACAGCCTGGGGTAAGCCCCGACGCGCCATTGCACACATGCTACCACACCCATTCCGATGGTGGCTGGCATGCTGGTTCTATCAACGCAATAAATGCCTCTTAATTGAACGACATCAAACAATCAATCTCAACCAGTTCTACGTGGGCCTCCACTCATAATGGCTAAGCATCATGACTTGCGTGGAAGCCCATTTTCTCATCGGCCAACGCACTCCACCGACTAACAAATATATCAGATTTGCATAATAATGTTCTCAGCCGTTACCAATTTGAGGGTTGGGCTTTCTCGGTAGTAGTGGGGCACTTGTAACAGGGAATAATAGGTTGATTGAGACAACCTTGCTGATATGCCTGGAGGCTAAAGACAGAGCATGAGACTTTATCATAGTTGTATGACCTTCCTCACATCAAACCCGCTGTCTTCTTTCGAATCACTCCAAGGCAGCATATAACCTCGTTGATTGCTCACGACTCTTACCCCCATCTCCATGAAATCAGTAGTGTAATGGGTATGTCCAAACACCCAGACTTTCACTCCATCAGGAATTCCTGATAGAATATCAGTTCCAAAGGCAACATTCCAAGGACTCTGAGCATGTTTAGGACTAGAGGTCCCCTGAAGTGAAGGTGCATGGTGCGTCATAACAAGGATAGACCGTTGCCTACTGCGCTTCCCCGCTGCTTCATTCTCCTGTTGTATTGCACGTATCTCCTTCATCAACCAGGAATAATCAGAATCATGGCGTGCATTATGGTCATCAACCGACCAGTCTGCAATCCTTTGGAAATCCTTGACTTTCGATTGAACAATATCGGCCGATTCCTTGGGTACTTTTGACCAAAGCGTGCAACCAAGGATACTAACATTAGAACCGGGGACATCGTATTTTTTTTTGATGGAGGACGATCAGCCGTCCATTAAGTGCAGGGTCCTGCTCAAGTCGTTTTGCTCTTTCTATCCCCGTTTCAAAGGTCTCGTAATAAAACTCATGATTTCCAAGTACGAGAAACACCGATTTGAATCGATCAGTCAGTTTCTGTAGGAAGTTACGGTAATCTTCATAGTCAGTTAAGCGTCCGATATCGCCCGCGAGAATAAGATGCTCTGCGCAAGCGGGAATTTCGTACGATGAGTACTGCTGGGTGACCTCCAGATGGAGGTCAGAAAGAATCTGGAATGATAGAGAGGTTGGGTTCAATGAAGACCATACTTTCCGAAGCATTGCCTTGATTCAAATCGAATGGGCGGTTGAAGCTGAGAGAAGGCGGAACTACTCAAAAGAGGAAAATTCACTGGACGAACGATATATCACGTGATTGTTGACAGTTACTTCAGTATATGCTAGGGCAGCAAGTCTCCCCATATTCTGGAGTTGACATTCGGTCACAGTAGTGGATAAAATTCGAAGGATGACTGTGTTGGGATGAAAATTGGTGAATAGTGCCAGCGGGACTCTGTGCATGTAGAATGAAGAGCGAATTACAAGCTAAAGACGTTCCGTTGATGTTCTTTTCCCTTCGAGACGTCAATCCAGTATACAAGTGATAGTATCGTTCTAATATACTGTTATTGGGAATAATTCAGAGCCTCGTACCTTTGTTAGTATTTAAGAAAGGGAGTTCTTCATGAAGCCTGGAAAGCAAATCTCCCAAAAGCTGAGCTGTATTTCTGCACAGTATTCGACAGCCTTTTCCAAAAAACGGCGTAGTATAGCAATCAAGCCCCATTAATGTTTCTCTAATCATATGTATGGAGCTTCATTGTTCGTTGAATATGACATACCACATTACCAGGTACTTCTTGCCACGGGTAACGATTAGGATTCAGCTTTTCTGAATACACCTTTTCCTACGGTAGGGACAAACAAATTTTCTCAAAAGCGTAATGATACTATAGATAGTCATACTAGGTGAAACATGAGCAGGTCACCAGGATCACTGAGGTTCGTCCATCACGTGAAGAAGAAATCATTCTCCTAGGGTATATCTGTGTTCTAAGATTTTGGGGGTGAAGAATGCCTCGTCGTAGCCCAACCAGAAAGTGCCAGGGTTTCCAAATTTATCATAGAACGTAAATCGACCTTCCCAACTCCTAGAGGCCGGCCATGTTGTACCAAATACATCAAGATACATATGGGTGACACACAGGGCGTTGCTTTTCTGATTTATGGTGACTTCAGCCGTATGAGAATCAATCCCCACTGTTCGCATTTCTTTTGATCCCATCGGCCAATAGTAGAAGATACTGAAGAATCCCATATTATCTCTGAGATAGGCGGTCGCATATTTCAGGGCGGGGTCAACCGTGCCCAGAATATAGCCTTGAAGGTCTGCTTTTCGGAGTTCGTCCTTCTTGGTCGTCAGATAAAAGTTTCGTTGTATCCAACTGCCGTCCTTGCTTGGAAATGCTTGCATTACATCCTCCTCCTGCTGCTCAAAGTTGAGATCGTCCACTGTGTATGTAACTGGGTTTGTACCCACGAGAGTGACTTTGGAATCAAAGGTTCCACCCCCGGTATGGACAACCGTACCATCGGACTGTTTGATGCTAGCGCCGATTCTCTTGTTTTCGACCTTCGTCGTCGTAACCCAGTAACGCTTCTTTTGAGGACCCCCAGCCGCAAAAGATAGGTCAGGCTGGATGGCCTTTTTCGTAGATGGCAACCCGTGTTCGAATTCGTTTTCGGTGACTGAATAGCTCCACGATCCCGAGATTTCCGTGGGAGGGTCATCATAGTCGATGAGTTTGATTGTCTCGAGCTCGGACTCATTCAACTCATAGGCATTGTTGGTGTTTAGATCAATCACACTGATAACAACAATCACAGGAATCTGCATGTTGCCATTGACGTAGAGAGCATCACTCGTGGCGTTGGGTGTAGTGGCCTGGACTTCGAACGAGGTAACCTCCCAGGAGACGGATGTAGAACCCATGATGAATTAGTAGGTAAATGTTGACTGAGATGAATGATGTGAGTAGGAAAGGCCTCTGAACAGACCGAGGAAAGTTGTTTCTTGAGGGGTTATTATAGATCTCGAGAACGAACCAAGCGTTAGCAGATGCCCACCATCTCGGTTGCACGACTTGAGAGCAAACCAATACTGCGATATCAGCTCTGAATCACACAGGCTCTTCGGGATTTGGTTAATTTGATGGGACCCGACTATTTTCTTCAGATCTAATCTATCTTGCGTGATCATCCGGGGCCTTTAGCCCAATGGAAATCCTGCCTCGTCGATCGTTGGCCACTTGCAGGTTCCAATGCATAGATAGTATAACATGAGCATTCAGCTCACTCCATGGTGGGTCTGCCAAGTTAAAACGGGCCCGAGGATTTGTCTAGTATAGTACATCGATAGTCAGTATTGACTTGGTGCCTCCCCTCAGCCGGTTCAGCTGCGCCCTGGACGCATATGCATCTTGTAAGTTGAACTTTGCCACCCTCATGCATCCTGCTTGATCGGGGAGCACTTAATTTATTGCCAACGGCGAGTAGAACCTATCAGTCAAAGTCTGGGCCATGATTTGGCGACGATCGCTTAACAAAATCAACTCCAGACCTGATTTCAAGGCTAATGTAAGGGCCGCCAAGCGCAGGAAGTGACCAACCACCATTATACTTCTAACCCAGTCAAACGAACTGGTTTGCGAAGAGCGACATAGTACTGAGCTAGTACTAGACTGCCAGGGTTGCTGCATTCTTTCTTCGTTTGGCACCGGTACTATTCTGCCCAGCGTGGCCTCTTTACTAGTGCACTTGCTAGCAGGGGTCCGTAACGCCGCCCGTTTACTAGACCGACTACACAGCAAGTTGCCACGATTCAATCCAGAGTGACGCCAAGCCGATAGTAAATAGTGGATAGTCCGGTGGACTACTGGAAAATCTCTGACCACCATAACACCAACAGGGCGGGGTAGGCTCACTATGACCAGCAGGCATTCCTTCAGGAATATTCTGTGTTTCATTCATCCCAATGAATCCAGACCAAATGAACTAACAAAGTCCTCGTTAAGCGATCGCCCTGTCCGGGATTTGGTTGTCTTAAGGTTGCAGCAATCCTGCGAGCTAATATTAGGAAAGATGCAGTGGCTCGTGCCGTGCGACCCGGGTCCAAGCGATCGATAAGGGCCCTATGACTCCATTCTATGCGAATATCAGGTGCACCTTGACGCGTCTTCCACCTTCCATAAGTGTTAGAGGGCAGATCCATCCAATGTAACATTAATATAATAATATATTAACTACCATCCTAGTATTGTCTAGAACTCATTCTTCAACCCCTCCAATGTGTAGTTACTAGATCAAGTACTACTTAGTATCCAATCAATTTCTTCGGATCCATCCCGGAATATATTCCCGAGCTGAACTTCAGCTGGCAAAGCCGAACAAATGTGAGCAACCCCTCCTAGTACTACTGCAACACCTCGGAGAGTCCGACAGACATGTAATGATACTGTAATACATTTGGGAATTTGGTGGCTTAGCATGTACAATGTCGTAATAGTTGTATGCTATGTTGCCACCATTAGAATGAGATGCGTGATTTGAATGAGCCCTACTTGATGTGCTAGATCAACTTGAGGTGGCAAGTACACCTCGCAGACGAATGAACGCACATCATCATGTTCCACCAGTAAGACATGCATGTGTAGTGTAGAGACCTGCTTTGGCAGCATGGAGGTGACGAAGACAGCATCGATTGATGCATCAATAGGTCAGTCATTGTGCTCCTGCTCCTCCTTCTTGGCAGGGTAGGAAGATGCTGGCATCTACTGGCATTTATGTATATATAGAGAGCTGTTCACTGCTCCGGAATCTAGTTTAAAGTGTCATGCTCATTCCCTGATCTCGTACACAATCCTCCCATCATCAGAATCTCAATTTTGTTGGAAATCAGAAGACAGTCCATCATGTCGTCCAACCCCAGCGACCTCTACTCTCAGAGTTTCAATTTTCAAAGTTTTCTGCAGAAAGGAGTTGATCCTCGTACTGGACAATACACCGTCAGTATTCAACTCTTTGATGCGCCATCGGAGACTCGCAACTGTCCGTCACTCAAAATATCTTTGAGCTACAATCCCCTCAACACCAAAGATATCGGGTTGGGTACTGGCTGGTCCTTTAATCTACCCTCCTACGACCATCGCCAAGGCAAGACTCTGTTGCTCTCGACGGGTGAAAACTTCCAAGCCACTGAGACGACCAGTACCTTTTTCATTCAGGACCAGAAGCTCAAGAGCTTCCAGGCAAAAAGAACGGGATCGTCAGCAGGGTCTATTTATGAGGTGGCCTACAAATCAGGCCAGGTAGAGATTCTCTCCGGTTTCAACAATACTTACAACCAATCGGTTCCAATCACCATCTATGGCGCAAACGGTCGCTCACTCAGCCTGGAGTGGATCCGCAACGGTGAACAGCCACGACTGAGCAAGATCCAAGACGGCGATGATGTTCTACTAGAAGTTCAGTATTCCGATGCGCAGGTAACCATCACCAAGGCGCCTGGAACTACCGCGGCCAGCACCTTCACGCTTATCCGGCGTAATGCGCAATTAACCCAGCTTGAGCTGCCGCTGGACGACGGCACGCCCCCGTGGCAGTTTTCGTACACCTCCCTCAGCAACGGATTCGTGTGTGTCTCACAGGTGACAAGCCCCACTGGCTTGGTTGAAGAGGTCAATTACAAGCAAGATGGCCACCAGCTACCCTCTGGAGCGCCTTTTACGAGGATTCCATACGTGGTGTCTCATGTGGCGCGTCCAGGTCGTCAGCAGCCAGCCATGAAGACAACCTACAGCTACTCCTCCTATAACTTCCTGGGCTATGGAGGAGCACGGCAGTGGAGTGATACCGGGGATAACCTGTACCAGGTGCCTGCGGAATACCAGTACACATCCACGGCGCAGCTTGAGGGTGGAGCAACCACAACCTATACTTACAACAAGTTCCACTTGACCACCAAAATCGTGGAACAACTGAACACGAAAAAGACTACCCAGGACATCACATATCATGCGACTCCGAATACAGCATTTGACGATCAGCCTGCGCAATACTTGCTACCTAAAACGGTTGCAATCACCTATGCGGACACAACTGCCTCCAGTCGGACAGAAACAACAACAACCGAGTTTGACGAATGGGGAAATCCTACTACGGAGATCAAACCGGATGGCTTGATTACCACTCGCACATACTACGCCGCAGATGGAGAGGCAGATTGCCCGGCTGACCCTCATGGTTTCCAACGATACTTGAAAACGGAAACAGTGACTCCGGCGGAGACGTCCTTTGCTGCACCGACCAGAACAGAGAAATTCGGTTATGTGGAGCTCCCTACTTCAAGCAATGCGACAGTGCAGACATTTGTTCTGCAATCATCGCGCGTCACTCTCGAGGGGGACGCCTCGCTGACCACTGCCGAGTATACGTATATCAACCAGCCAGACTCGCGCGATCATGGACGAGTCCAGGAACAAAAAACATGGTTATCTTCGAAAGACAACGCCACAACCCAAACATATGCCTACGAGTATCTCAGCAGCGGCGAGTTGAAAAAGACACTCAATACGGCTGGCTTTGACGGCGTTTCGGCCAAATTTGAGACCATCCATTCTCTGTCTTCTGGTAAGGTTACAGGACAGACGGATGATGCTGGTATCCGGGATGTCTTCCAATACGATGCATTGGGCAGATTGGTCAAAGCCGCAACAGCGATCGATACCGACCAGGAAGCAGTCCGCTACAACAGTTACGCCATCCCTGACGACGGCAGTAGTGGCATGGTGCTGTCAGTTACGGATGCTAAAGGTGTCCAGACACAATACATTTCTGACGGCCTGGAGAGAATCTGCCAAGTGAAGAGACAAGATGATGATGGCTCGTGGGATGCATCTACCAACACATACTCCGGCACTTTTCGCTTACTGCAGGAGCGCAACTACAATGCTCTGGGCCAACATGTTGAACAAACTGACATTGACTGGCTGCGTACCAAAGACAGCGATCCAACGGAACTACGAACAACCAAGGAACTGCAGTATGACGACTGGGGTCAGGTCCTGAAGACTGTAAACAATAGCACAGGCGTCACGACGACTTCAGCAACGGATCCTATCAGCCTGAGTCAAACAGAAGGAATCGAGGGCGAAGGCCAAACTGTCACGCAGCTCAATCTGTCCGGTGTGCCTACTCAGATCCGCCTTCTGGGTAAGGATGGAACCGAGTACAGCAAGCTCACGTACAGCTATGACGGACTGGGACGATTGGTGGAAGAAGAAGATGCCTTGGGTCGCAAGACGAAATACCAATCTGACTCGTTTGACCGAGTCACTAAGACCACATGGGCGAGCGGCCGGGAAGTCAACGTCCAGTATGCTACCCAAAGCGCGGCAGCTCTCCCGACCTCACTCCAAGTCAACGACGCAAACCTTGGCGGACAGTCTTTCGACGGATTGGACCGATTGACACAGCGAACAGTCGGCGGGCGCAGACTGAAACAATCCTACCAGGGCAGCACCCCAGAGCCAACTCAGATTGCCACGGACAAGGGCGACTTCAAACTCACATACGAACCGGGTTTGCGCCAATCGCTATCGACAGTCAGTGGCCAAGACAGGAATGAGACATACAAGTATGACTCAAAGACGGGGGTTGCGCTACAGCTCAAAGGCTCATCCAGCACTGCGGATCGTCAGTACTTCCCGTCAGGCCTACTGAAAAGTGAAGCGCTCGACCTCAGCGAAGGTGCCGCATCCTTTTCTACTCAATCGACATACTCGATGGCCGGGAAGTTGCAAGGATATACCGATGTTCATGGAACGGAGTACCAGAACACATATGATAGTGCAGGCCGCCTGAGTTCCTTGGCTGTAGGATCCCTCACCGTCTCTTATTCATATGACAGCGCCAACCGTCTGTCCAGCACTACAGTTCAAGACCAAGAGCACGACTCCAGCTTGACCACAAACCTTGTCTACGATGACTTCGGTCGAGAAATTGAGCGCACAGTGTTGCAAGGGGAGAAACAGGTGTCTAGACTGACTCAGTCCTTTGGCGAGACGAGTCTTGTCACCACGCGGCAAGTAGAAGAAAGTGGGAACATTGTCCGAAACGAATCATTTGCCTACGACGAGCACAACCGTTTGGTCAAGTACACATGCGAGGGAAGCCAACTTCCGAAAGATGAAAAGGGACATGAGATCCAATCCCAAGAA